AAAAAAAAAAAAAAAAAAAAAAAAAACCCAAAGACATGGAGAAGCAATATAAAATGGGTGCAACACAAAAATTAAAATGGTAGCTATAATTCTAATATGTTAATAATTATGTCAAATATAAATTGTCTATAAACTTCAAGTAAGATCAAAATAGTCAGATCTGATTTTATTAACTCAATTATATGCTGGTTACAGGAGGCCCACCTCAAGAGCAAAAAAGGTTGAAAGGTAAAAGTTGAAAAAATCTGTGCCAGATAAACGCTAAACAAAAGAAAGCTGGTATCATTATGCTAATATCAGAAAAGTAGACTTAAAGGTAAGAAGCATTGCTAGACATAAAGTGGATGCTTTGCAATGATAAAAGGATCAATCCACCCGTAAAGCAAAAACAGAACTAAAAGGAAAAAGAGACAAATTCTCAATGATATTGGGAGACACTAGCACACTCCTGTCAATATATGATAGAAATGCAAATAGAAAATCAGTAATAGCACAATTAGCCTGACCTAATTAACACTATACCCTATAACAGAATACACATTCTTTTTAAGTACACACATAACATCAAGTAAAATGAATTATATGCTGGGTCATAAAACAATTCTCAACAGATTTCAAGGGATTTGAATCACTCAGAGGTAAATCCTCGAACCACTGTGAAATTAATCTAGAAACTCATAACAAAAAGTTAATTAGGAAATCCCCTTTTCTGCTATGCTAGCAATCTCTGCCTCCAAATATATATGTCAATGTCTTTGTAATTTATAGGAAAGCTTGAAGGAAGGAAAAGAGATACTTCTCAAACAGAAATAAAATAGAAACTACAGCCAGTGGGTAACCATGAGCCAACATACCAGGAGCTCAGGGAAGCATCGAATGTGAATACATGTCCTAGGGGCTCATGGCTGGGTTTTGATGCCGATTAGGATAAAGGAAATATGGCTTTGACCTACATGAGGCAGAGGTGAACTAAGAACTCAGTAGAGTTGAGACCCTGAAAGACTGCCCCCTTTTTATAAGAGGAACTAGAAAAACTCAAGCAAAGTCTCTAGAACCAAGCATGACTGTGCATAGAAAAATCAAGGGGGAAAAACATCCCACTGGAAACAGAAACTCCAAACTCATTTCATCCCAATCAGATGTAAAGGTTTAATTTATACTTCCCACAAAGTAAGGAAATCCCAAACCACATATATATATAATATATTTATATATAAAATATATTTAATTATGTAAATATATATTTATAAATTATAATTAATTATAATTTATAAATATATATTTATAAAATAATTATATTTTAAAATATGATTATGTATAAATAAAACATTTTAAATTATAGGCTATTTTAAATTACATGCTATTTATAAAACATAATTATATTTTAAAATAATATTAATAATATTATTTATATTATTAATATAATAATATTTTAATTATATTAAAACATAATTATATTATGTATAAATATATGTTTATATAATTATAATTAATTATATTTTATATATATATATATATATGTATATATATATATAATTAATTTCAGAAGAGTGATCCCTTGGCTCCAAGGCTAAAGCAAAGATAAATGTTTTTGTAAAGACATCTTCAATGCCAGGCCACACAAGGCTCTTTTTCATTGGGGGAAAACAATGGCAACACCAGCTGAAGAAAACTTCCAATAATTTTTTAAAATTACAAACTACACAAGGAAATAATTCACAATAAGAGAAAGTCAGCAGATACAATCAACAGGATTATTAGATCCCCCAGGCACTTGTGATGACAGAATAGCCCAAATCAATTACATACCAAATATATTTTAAATGATTAAATACATAAAGAAGGAATAAAAATCATGTTGAAAGAACAAGATTCTATTTTAAAAGTAATAACAGCTTGACCTGAACATGAACCAAATTGTAATTCTCAGACTGAAAATGACCCCCAAAAGTCATTTAAAAAAATTAATAAATAGCAGAATTGATGGTTTAGACAAATAGGAAGATTTGGTGAACGAGGAGATAAATGTAAGAGAATTTCACAGAATACAATGAAGATGTGAAGAGGTATAAAATCTAAAAAAGAGCTGAACTGAATGAAATTGAAACATGAAAATCATACAAAAGATCAAAAAAACTGTAAGTTGGTTCTTTGAAAAAATACATAAGATAGATAGGCTACTAGCTAAACTAATGAAAAAAAGAGAGAAGATCCAAATAAACACAATTAGAAATAACAAAGTGGACGTTATCACTGACCTCACAGAAATACAAAAAAACCGTCAGAGACTATTATGAACACCCATGTGCATATAAACTAGAAAACCTAGAAGAAATGAATAAATTCCTGGAAACATGCAACTTCCCAAGACTGAACCAGGAAGAAATTCAAACTCTAAACAGACCAATAACAAGTTCTGAAATTGAAAGAGTAATAAATATCCTGCCAACCAGAAAAGCCCAGGACTAGATGGATTCACAGCCTAGTTCTAGTAGACATATAAAGAAGAGCTGGTACCATTCCTACTGAAACTTTTCCAAAAAATTGAGGAAGAGGGACTCTTTCCTAACTCATTCTGTGAGGCCAGCATCATTCTAGTACCCAAACCTGGCAAAGACACAACAACAACAAAAGACTTCAGGCCAATATCCTTGATGAACGTAGATGAAAAATCCTCAACAAAATACTAGCAAACCAAATCCAACCGCACATCAAAAAGCTAATCCATCACAGTCAGATAGGCTTTCCCTGGGATGAAAAGGTGGGTCAACATACATAAATTGAAAATTGTGATTTATCACATAAACTGAACTAAAATCAAAAAACACATGATAATCTCAATAAATGCAGAAAGGGCTTTTGATAAAATTCACCAGCCCTTCCCGTTAAACACCCTCAACAAAGTGGGCATTGAAGGAACATATTTCAAAATAATAAGAGCCATTTTAACAAACCTACAGCCAACATCATACTGAATAGGCAGAAGCTGGAAGCATTCCCTCTGAGAGCCAGAACAAAGCCAAGATGCCCACTCTCACCACGCCTTTTCAGTGTAGTACAAGAAGACCTAGCCAGAGCAGTCAGGAAAGAGAAAAATAAAAAGCATCCATGGAGGAAGTCAAACTATTTGCAGACAATATGATTTTATACCTAGAAAACCCCAGCCTCTGCCCAAAAGCTCCTAGATCTGATAAACAACTTTAGCCAAGTTTCCAGATACAAAACTCAATGTACAAAAGTCA